GCAACAAGACCTAAAAGCACGGCCGCAGCCCGCGAAACAGCGGCCATGGGACAGGGGCATGGTCAGAGGGGGCGGTGGGGCGATGGGCGCCATCGAGACAGAAGCAACAACAGGCAAAGGCGACCCAACGAGCGACAGCCGACGATGAAAGCTACAGCAACAGCAACAACAACAACAACAACAACAACAACAGCAACAACAACAACAGCAACAGCCGTAGCAGCAGCATCGACGTCCTTCCGTTATGTCCATTCCGTCACTTACACACACACACACACACATCTACACTTACACTTACATCTGTACATGTACATCCATACATCCTGGCCTTCTGCAGTTCTATCGTGTTTCCGTCGGCGACGCCTGCGTGTGTTTTATTCGCCCTTCGTAGTGCGTGTGCAGCATATCTTCTTCTTTTCTTCTTCTTTTCTTTCGTCCTTCTTCTGCCGCTGCTTGTTGTTGCTGTTGTTGTTGCTTTTCTTCTCATATTCTTTTGCTTTGTCTTAGTTTGTTTTGCTTTTGGTTTTTTTTTCTTTCTTTTCATTTTTTTTTCATGGTTTTTTTCTTGCACCGTTACCTTTTAAGCACTTATTACATGCTTTGTTTTACTCCTGGTTGCGTTCGGCTTTTGCACAACTTTAAATAATTTAGCGACGCCCTCGTCCTCGCCTTCGCCTTCGCTCGGCTCATTCTCTTCACCTCTCTGTCTCTGTCTCGCTCGCTCTTCGTTAGTCCGCACGACCAACAGCCTATTCACTCGCCCCTCTGGCTGGCACTTGTGGTGTGGTGAATATTAAATGCTCTTGGTTTTGGTCGCTTCCCCGCTCTCGCTCTCTCCTACGTCTCATTCACACGGCGTGTGGGTGTGTGTTGAAATCAGTAAGCGAACTAACAAAATCTACCCCCGCCTGTCCCGCATCGGCCATTAAACTGTGTTGGGTTTTATGGTTAAGCTCTCGAGTCATTCGCGCTGGGCAACAAATTTTCTGTAGCACTTTTTTCAGCGTCAGCTGTGTGTGTCTGTGTGTGTGTGTCTGTCTGTCTGTCTCTGTGTCTCTGTGTGTGTGTGTGTGTTTCTTCAACTTTAAATGGAAATGTCTCAAAGCTCGATTCGTAATTCTGACAAATGGGCGAAAATTTGTGTTTCCGTTTAATGAATAAATTTCATGCTCATATTTTGCCTTTATTTTTCACTTTTAATGGGAAAATCTAAAATTAAATTTTTTTTTTTTACCTAAAGACAAAAATTTAATGAACAAATTTGCATTATCGTTAAAAAGAAAAACTAAGTATTATATATAAAAGGAAAAAAAAACGAATTGCAAAATGCACTATAAACATTTCTTTATTAACTAAACAAGACTTTAAATAGAAATTTTAATTGAAATATGTATTTTAAATTAAGTTGATGTGATTGTTAATACTAAATTTGTGTTTTTGTAATTTTTAATAAAATTAAAAATTTTTAATAAGCTTATTAATTTTTTTTTGTTCATCTTAATATGTATTTTCCTTAAATTTCTGTGTTTTCACTGTTTAACTTTTGATTTTGTGTTGCACACACTCAACGCTAGATGGCGCCTGCGTGTCTCTCGCTGATTTCTAGCAGTTTTGCGAATTCAGCAGACGAAGGGGCAACTGGCGAGCGGGCAGGTGATGGTAAATGGTAGATGGTAGCTCAAACATGCACACAATCTGTCTCTCACTCTCTCTTGCTCTCTCCTTCCCCATCTATCTCCACATCTCTGTCACTCTCTCGCACTCGTTCTCTCGTACGTACCAACGACCTATTTACAAGCCCGTCATGACACTTGCATCCCATGGCTCAACTTTAATTACGAAAGGAAAAAAGAAAAGTGCAAAGAAGAAGAGACTAAATGAGCCAGTTGAAATATGAGATACCCTTTGGTATTTGCAAGCTATGCGCAACTAGTCGATACCCTACATAGAGATATACATATGTGAATATTATCTAGAAAGGTATGCGTAACTAGCAGATGCTCTATATATAAATATATATATGTATATACATATATTTGTATATAATGTGACATATGCCATAGAAAAACATGCTCAACCAGCACATACCCTCTATAAATATGCAAAATATATATATACATATGTACATATATATATAGGAATATTTTCTAGAAAAGTATGCTCAACTAGCAGATGCTCTACATACACAAGCTATAAATATACTATAACAAGCACATACTCTATATACATACAGACATATTATATGCAAAACATATTCAGATGGGCAATAGAAAATTATGCTCAAGCAGTACATACCCTTTATAAAATTGCAAAATATATATATTTCATAGAAAAGTATTTTAAACTTGCAGGTGCTCTATATATACTACATATATCATGGGTAGATTTGATAAAAAAAAATATATGATCATATATATGGATATATTTTTTACATAAATAGCAGCTACTCTATATATAATACGATATTTATATACTATAATAATATATAAAATACAAATTAGCTATCTTCTTATAGCTTTCTATATAATATTTGATCCCATTGTGAATATCCCATGGAAGAGTATACAAATAATAAAACTTTTTTAACTGAAAATTGATTTAAAATGGAAAAATGAATATATGGTATATGTAGATAGATACATAATCATATATACATATATACATACATAGATACATATATCATCATATAGACAGCTTTCTGTCCCATCATACCCCACTTGGCCTCGCAGATGTGGGTGGCTGTGTGTGTTTGTATATTACGATACATTCATATGAACATTAAAAATGTTCGCATAATAATTTTCACTTATGCTGCCTCGCCTCATCGTGTCACCTCTGCCTCTCTCTCTCGCTCTCTCTCTCTCTCTCTCTCTCTCTCTCTGTCTCCATCAAGCCTGATGTTTGTTTTATGCCCGTGTATATGAAAATGTTTATTTTATGCATATATTTGACGTACGAAAAAGACTGAAGAAGATTTGCATGTTGCTCCAGCAGCCCCGCCTCCGGTCTGCTCCTGCTGCTGCTCCCACTCCTGCCATAGGCCGCATCTAAACAATATGGCAGCGCCTGCCCTGCCTGCATGGGCGTTAGCAAAATGCATAAAGGAAAACTGAGTGCACAGTTTTTCCGCTTTTTCCCCCTGGTGAAAATCGATTATCTGGGCTCTGGCAAAATGGAGACTGAATGGACTGGAGCCCCCCGATTGAAGGCTTTAGTTGGCGCTTTTCTTGTTGCTACTGTTGTTGTTGTTGTTGTTGTAGGAGTTGTTGTTGTTGCTTTTCAGCTTTGCATTTTGGATAGCACGCAAAGCTGTTACACCCACACACACAGACACACAACATTACCCTGTGTATGTATATGTAAAATGTCAAATTCTGTTTCCTTTTCTGTATGTATGTATGTATGTATGTATGTATATTCTTATTTTTTTTTCTGCTGCTGCTGCCGCCATTTTGTCTTCTGCTGTGGTCCGTTGTTCACCAATAAGTTTACGACTGCCGCCAAATAGCGCGAGTTACGCACACACACACACACACATAGTTACACATACTTACTCACACACACACACACACATCCATTCGCTTTCCAGGCTGCTGAGTCGCCGCCATTTTGAAATTGATACAGAGCACTCGGGCATCGGTTGGCGCTTTTGCCCAAGCTGTGTGTGTGTGTGTGTGTGGCTCAGTGTGGCAGGTGCCTGCTGCCTGCTGACGTTTGCACCCGCCCCCAAAATGCATATTGCAATACTGCAATTGGGCTGCGGGTCAGTCACACACACACACACACACACGCACATAGACACAACCAACAGCCTGCGCTCAATGTTTGCCTAGGCTTCTGCTGCTGCTGTTGCTGTTGCTATTCCGTCTATATTCAACTAACCAAACACACACACACGCACAGTCGGCCTTTCCATATTTCCAGCTGAAATATTGTGCTGCCTTTGTTGCTGTTGCTGCTGTTGCTGTTGTTGTTGTTGTTGTTTAGTTAGTTTTGCACTTGCTGGCAGCAGTTTGCAGTTGTTGTTAGTTGGCAGCTAAAATGCGCGTGCGAGCGAGTGAGCCAACCATTTTGCGTCGAGCCTGAGACCCAGACCCAGACGCAGCGCCCAAAACCCCAGTACCGCCCCCACCACGCACACACGCACACACGTACACACGTACACAGCGGAGCAGCAGCAGCAACAGCAACAGCAACGGCAACAGCAGCCGCAGCAGCCGCAGTGGCAGCAGTGGCAGCAGTACGAACAGGAGCCTCTTCATCAACCCCTACACTAATCTGCCAAGTGGCTGTGTGCTCCTCAACGCGTTGCCAACAGCAGCAGCAGCAGCAGCAGCAGCAGCAGCAGCAGCAGCAGCAGCAGCAGCGTACACACACCCACACATATACTCACCCACACACACGCACATCCTGGCCTCAATCAGTCGCAGTGACCAGAGCTGCAAGCCGGAGGAGGCGTTTACTAAAATTGTTGAAATGTGTGCGCAAATTTGATGCATGCCAACCAACTAAAGCCGAACTGACAAAACCAACCACCTAACCACCAGGCAAAGCACCCAACCACCCAACCACCCAACCACCCAAGCACCCAGCCACCCAACCACCCAACCACCTGAGCACAGCTCGAGTTCTAGTTACAACCTATTGCTCAACATTCGGTTCCTGATGTCTATGGGCCAACAGTTTTAAATTTCGTCTCTCTCTCTCTCTCTCTCTCTCTCTCTCTCTCTCTCTCTCTCTCCCTCTTTCTGTCTCTCTTGCTGCTTAACTTGCCAGTTGGTCAAAACTTTTCATTGATTTGACCTGATATAGATATAGATATAGATATAGATATAGATATAGATATAGATATAGATATAGATATAGATATAGATATAGATATAGATATATAGATATATAGATATAGATATAGATATAGATATAGATATAGATATAGATATAGATATAGATATAGATATAGATATAGATATGATAGATATAGATATAGATATAGATATAGATTTTTTTTTTTTTTTTTTTTTTTTTTTTATTAGTAGGAAGCGCCAGAGCATCATTTTGCCCTATAATCTTCCTTGAAACAAAATTTACATCACAGGTTTAACGTTTACTACTAAATTTAAACATATATATTTAAGTAAATTAATTACTATTAGCGATGAGGTTTTCGAACTGTCGTCTTTTTAATCGACGAATGGGTTTCGAATTTGGCAGCTTTCTTGCCAGCCGGTTGGCGTGGGACTTGAGGCGATCATTATACCGGCTTGAATGAAATGAGATCTGCTCTTCCACTGAATCCATTTTGAGATCTCTATGCAAGGAGGAGTTTCTTACGAACCAGGGGCATCCAGTGATTTGGCGCAAGGCCTTGTTCTGCATTATCTGGATCTTTTGTCGGTTACTCTTTGCGGCGACTCCCCAAACTTGTACACCGTACCTCCATATTGGCGTGATTATGTGCGTTATTAACATACGCTTGTTTGCAAGGGACAGCTTGCTTTTGAGATATAGATATAGATACAGATATATAGAAATCTTTGAATTGCTCTTTCAATTCGGTTTGATTATTCACATTCTGGATGTATATCTAATTAATAATAATGATGATAATGGTGATGATGATGAGCAGGATGATGACGATAATGATGATGATATTGCTGGTGTCAAATCAAATTGATGATTGTTGATTTTGGAATGCTTAAAGTGTGCCCTTGCTCAACAACAACAACAACAACAACAACAACAACAACAATAAGAAACAGAGTCACAAAGCAGTAGAGAAAGAAAAGTAAAGCAAAGCGAAAAAAAAACAACAACAATGAACAGAGTAAAACGAAATCCAAGTGCGAAGCAGTAGATAAAGCATAGGGAAAGATACAAAACAAAATCAAAGCGTTGATGATTAACAACAAGAAGAGGCAGAAACCGAAACAGAAAAAGAGAAAGAGAAGCAGAAGCAGAAGCAGCAGAGGCAGACAAACACTGAAAAAGAGGACAAGCAGGCGCAGATGCGACGAAAAAAAAAATTCCATTGAAATTACGTATGAGTGATTTTTTTATTAAAGTGCGCATTGCTTTTGTTCTGCTATCTCTCTCCCTCTCGCTCGCTCGCTCACTCACTGTGAGTTAAATATGTATGTATGTATATATTTATATGTATATTATGTACATATTATATATGTATGTCTATGTAGCACCCTCTGAGTCGTGAGGCTGATAAATATTTACGATTTGGGCGACAATTTTCTTTGGTCATTGAAAGCGCTGGGCGGGAAAGAGGGGGAAGGCAAGCTGAAGGCATATAGGAAAATTATATGCATATAAATATATATATATATATGTATATGTGTATAAAGTGACTCACTCACTTGACTCGGCTATTTGCCAAAGTATAGGCTGATTATATTCCAATTCGATTTTCCCATTTTCAATAACATTAAAGTTGAACTAATTAAAATTGAATATATAATACATGCATATATGATATATAAAAGTATACAAAAAAAAAGGAAAAAAATATATATATATAAATATTTAATTTAAATTTTTTTTTTTTTTACACACACACACACACACACACACTCAGTTTAAAGCCCGCGCGTGGCGACTTTTTTTGTTGTTTTTTGTTTTTGTTGTTGCTTGTCTTTGCCTTTGTTTTCGGTTTTCTTTTCGTGCAAAACTTGAAAATCCATTTTTTTTTTTAACAGTTTATTAATTTATTGAGCATAAAAATGGTTTGTTAATTGCCTAAACAAATACAAAGCAATTTGTCTTTGTTTTGTTTTGGTTTATTTCGACTATGTGTGTGTGTGTGTGTGTATTTTTATTTGATATTTCATTTATGTACATATTTTTGCTGTCTTATTTCATCTTATTAATTGTTTTCTCTTTGCTTGGCATTTCGTATTTCCGGCTGGGAGAGGCGTGAATAATGCGAATCAACTCAAGTCTGAAATCTATAAGCGAACAAATTTCATAATTGTAGCAAAAAATTGAAAAACAAGAACAAGAATCGGGCGTTATCGACTGAAGCTCTAGTTTAAAAATAGTTGTTTTTTTTTTTTGAAGCCATTGACTCACTCCTGAGAGAGAGAGAAAGAGAGAGAGGAAGAGAGATAGATATAGAGAGAGAGTATATTGGTTCTGTGTAAGGTTCAACTCTATTGAATCGAACTTGACTTGTCTTAGCCCAATACGCCCACAAGGGGCGTGGTAAAAATGAGAATTCAATTTATCAGAAAGGCTAAAGATTTAAACTTACTACAGCTTCACTCTGAAGAACTATCAGAAATTATTTAATTATATTTAACATCGTGAACGAGTATCATGCAGTCGATATCACTCGACTGCAGCAGTTGTACATGATTTATTTTCTGTGTCAATTGAGTTTCATCTCGAAAGAGACGCTAAATTCTCTGAATTAGTTCTATTAAATAATTTATGTGATTAAATAATATACTTAGTTAAACCTATAAAAGATATATCTATATTTGTATTATATGTTTAAACATGTATGTTTCAAATGTCTTTAGTACAAAAATAGAAAAAGGAAATTTAAAAATTATTAATAAATTCAAAGCAAAATAGATAAATTTATTTTAAACAAACAAACAAAAATAAAATTTTTTACATAAATAAAAAAATACATAATAAATAAATATTTTATAATAAATAAAAAATATATATAATAAATAAATTTAAAAAAAAATGCCTAAATCAATATTGTTTTTACATTGTTGTCCAAAGAATAATAAAAACTAAATAGAATATAAGGTAATAAAATATACTTAATTTAATATGATATAATATAATATAATATAATATAATATAATATGATATAATATAATATAATATACATACATATGCTCATATTCCTTAAATGAATCAAATTTTGTTGTCCAACACTGCTCAGACGCACTATTTTTTTTTTTTTTTTATAGACAAATTCCAATAAATCATTTACCATCTTTGGGACTTTACAATTCTAAAAGAATTCGAATGTCGTCTCACATCGTAAATCATTTCACTTGAGCATTTTTTGAGATTTTCCAATAATTTCCTCTATTCCTTAGTTTTCATTCCATTCAGCTATCAACTGATTCAATTTTGGAAGAAGTTTTTAATATTATGTTAACATATATATATGTATATATATATATATATATATATATATATATATATATATATATATGTATGTATGTACATTTATTTTCCTTTGTATATTTGCGATTAGAGAACGAAATTTGAAAAGCAAAATCAATACTACAAATGGGCTTTGCCGCAATGCTAAATATATATACATACATACATACATACATACATATATACATATATAGCTATATTGTCATAGTTCTCTGAAATATGCACAAATATACATGCATATAGATCTACATATGTATGTATAATTCCATTTCCACACACTCTATTGTATAACTAATAGTAATTGAACGAACGCCGAGTGTGGCGATATAATCTAAAGGTCACACTCACTAGGCGAGAACTAACAATGCTGATGAAATCATTCACAATCAAATAAATATTATCCAAATACATACATAATAAGAAAGAGAGTGAGTGATTAATTATGTCCATGTCAGATTGAGGTTTGTTTCGTAAAGTTCCAGTTTTGTTGATTCTCGAATTTAGTTTTATAATCCGTTCCTCAATTGCTATAATGTAAATCGTGAAATTCAATTGATAATCCAGGGAATGAGTCAGTCACAGCTCAAATATTTTCCTAGCTATACGAAATATTCATAACAAGATCTATTTACATAGTATGTTTGTTTGTTTGTTTGTGTGTGTGTGTGTATATATGTTTATTAGAAAGTCTACTTCTTAGATAATTGCGAAGTTTAAGTGAAGGTTATATTTGATCACATATAGCTGAAATGTGAATCCAACAAATTTAAGTACATAAGCTCTACTTTATATATGTACATACACACATACATACATACATACATACATACATACATTATATGTGCATACGTCCATATATAAATCTGTATATCTGACTCGATTGTATACATGCATAGATATATACATATGTACATACATATGTAGATATATACATACATACATATATCTGTCAATTCCTGAAAAGAAAAATTGAAAGCAAAGCCGCAAAAAAAACATGGACTAAAACTGAACTTTGAATGTATTTGGTTCTTATCTTCATATGCACATACATATTTATAAGTATATATGTATGTAAGTATGCAAGTGTGTATGGGTTACATATTTTTCTACTTTATTTAGAGTACATACATATGTATATGTATGTATGTATGTATGTAAGTGTGTACACACTTCATATCACATTTCTCTGTTCCTTTATAAAATTGTGCACAAACTCTCAATTGCTCTCGCTCCGCTTCAACTTCTACTTCGCCTGCCCCTACTCCTGCCTTTGCCCCTCTTTCACTCACGCTCCCTCGCTCTCTCGCTCTCGCTCTGCCCAAGAGCCGTTGCCTTTTGGGGTTTGTCTAGTCTCTAGTTCATAAAATTCATCGGCGGCGGCGGCGGCACAGTGATCCGTTACTTATTGTCTACCCCCTGCCCTCAACCACAAACTCAAACTCAACCTCAACCACAAGCTCTCGTCTCCCCCGGCCTACTCCCTCACCTACCCCGCCGTCCTTCTGCACATTGCGCTAGCCAGACTTGCGCTAATGCTTTCTCCTTCTAACTGCCTGACATGCGGCTATCCTTGTCTTGCAATCTATAAATAAAATGTTGGCTGCATTTTGCGCTGCTGTTTTTGTGACTGTTAATAAAAATTCCATTTGCTTTATACATCCGAAGGCAGAAATTCTCGAACAAAAACATACAACATACATACATGCACACGCACACACATACACACATGCATGTACATATATATATGTTATGTGTGTAGTATAAAGTGAGTTGTTGGTATATTTGTATGTATGTATGCCAGATGCGGTAATGTTTACTGCTGTTGTTGTTGTTGCTGTTGTTGTTGCTGGTTGATGTTGTCTTTTGTTTCTGACTTTTCTGTCTTTTGGCAATTTTTGATTTTCGCTGAAAATTATAAAAATATATCTTCGGATTTTTGTTGTTGTTATTGTTTTGATAAACAAACAGCGCACAGCCCACGATTACCTCATATGTATGTATGTATGTATGTATGTATGTATATCATTGTTGTTGTTGAGTTGTTGCCTGTTCTTGCTTTATGCTTGAATTGTTGACAGCGCAACAACTAGAACAGCTAATGTAAATACACACGTACATATATACACGCATACATACATACAGGCATACATCCATTCACACATAGATACACACTTGCTTGTATGTATGTATATATACACATCTACATAACTACATCTATACATGAAAATGCACCCATACCCTACAATCCAACCGCCCACAGCTGCCACGCCCTATACACTTTGCACTTGACGACGGCGGCGCCAGCGTCGCGACATCGTCGCTGGCCAGTCGCTAAGCTTTAGCATTTTTTTTTTTTGCGTTACTTTTTTCCATTCTGCGCTTTTTTTTTTCATTTCCCACCATACTCAAGCACACGCACACATGCACATACATACACATGAACAAGTACATACACATGCCACATACATTCATACATACGTGCATACATACATACATACATTTAATTTCATTCCCCTTGCGTTCTTTGGCTTTTACTTTTGTATATTTGTTTGCCTTTATTTTAAATGTGACTGAGACGCTGACGTCGCTGCTGGCGTCAACGGCACAAACGCGTCGCTTGCGCTTACTCACAATCAAATCTCACGCCGCATTTTTAGTCTCAATTTGTTTGTGCTTCAATAATAACTGAAACGTAAAACTCACGCGGCTAAAGCGACGAATCCGTCAACGTCAGTTTACTTTACCTTACTTTACTTTAGCTTACTTTTGATTTGCTATTTTTCACTCTGCTGTGTGTTTTATTATTATTGCCTTTGCTTTTGCTTTTGCTTTTGCATGTTTGTGTGTGTTTGCCTGCTCAATAGTAAACTGTTTTTAAACCCAGCAATTCGTCGCTGCCTCTAACGCTGCTGCTAGCTCTGCCGCTGTCGCTGTCGCTGCCTTCGCTAGTGCAGTGGGCGAGAGCTTTCGAGAATGAGAGAGTGAGCGAGGGCAGACCGGCAGGCAAGCATCGCCACTGCTGCCTCCGGCTCTGCCTCCGACACCGCCACTGCCTGCGCCACCGCAACTCGTTCGTTTCCACTCGCTGCGCTTACATTTTGTGTGTTGTCGTGGGTCGCCGCCGTCGCCGTCGTTGTCGTCGCAGCGTTCGTCGCTCGGTCGCCTCGGTGAGTGGGTCGTGTGCTCTCGTCGTCGATTTTGTTTTTGTTGCAGTGGCAGCATAATTAGACGTCGCGACGTCGACGGCATCGTCGTTAGCCACCTCTCGCTGCTGCTGCTGCTGGCTCCCAATCTGCGTATGCGTAACGCGGCGCATTGCAGTTGTTGTGGGCCCGATGCTCGTTTTTTTCCCCGTTTTTGTTTTTGATTTTTTTTTTTTTTTTTTTTTTTTTTTTTTTGCAATGTTTTGCTACGCGTGTACAGAGATTGCACTTATATGTATGTATATATGTGTGTTTTTATATTCTTCAAGCATTTTGTGGGCAGCCAACGAGAGTCACATATTTGTTTATGCACTGTATACAAAATTTTCCAATTTAATTAGTTTACTTAGGTTAAACAATTGCTTTTAAACAAAATATCAGATACATATAGGCGTATATAAATCTACACACACATATATGTGTGTACACATATGTATGTATGCGTGTACGTGACTTGAATCAAATGCATGAAATTTATATTTCTGATAACATTTTTTCGACTGTTACAATTTGTGTATATAAGTGAGATACATATATATATATATAATTATATATATGTATGTTTGTATGTATATATAGATTAGCATTTGTGCTGTTTGGCTTCCCTTTCTTTTTGTTTTAATGTCATACGATTAGCACCCAAGAGGCTCCATTCACAACACAAGTTCAATTGAATTTGCGGTTTCGCAGTTTGTTAGAGTTGCCAGACTGATGAGATTTGATATGAATGTGCATGCATACATATGTATGTATGTATGTATGTATGTATATATTGTTGAGTGTGTGTGTGTGTGTGTGTGTGTGTGTGTGTGTGTGTGTGTGTGTGTGTGTGTGTGTGTGTGTGTGTGTGTGTGTGTGTGTGTGAGTGGTCATTCTATTGAATATAAATAGTTATATACACTATCTAAATAGATATGCTTAGATATATGTATGTATGTATGTGTGTAATAGCATTGGGTATTTTATCCAAGAATTCGTATTATTCAGTGGGAATGAACTGCATACATCTTACATTGTATGTGTGAATTTATGTATGTATGTGTTGATTTGTCTAAGAATACCCTATATTCGTGCGCTCAACGAGGCATATTTGCTTTGGTATTTCAACACACATACATACAACTTCAAAATGATAATCACTTTTCCTTAATCATTCCGATTATGACGAATGTGTTTTGTTTTTTAAGAAAATATAAAAGTGTTTGACAAAGTTGACACATTCAATTCTAGGGTATCTTGTGCTCTATCATAAGTATCACTGGGAAGCAATGCACTTGATGCACATGTATTTATCCGCGATTGTCGAAACTATTTAATTTATTTTTTTGATTAATGTTTATTTATTCCATTTACTCTTAAAGATTTTACAGTTGCTTTTAAATTTTGAATTTTTAAATTTTGTAGTTTTTTTTTCATTGTTTTGATTGTTTTTTTTTTTTATGCTGCGATTACGTCAGCTGACAGTCATTGGGACGAATGTCAATGCTAAGAAAAATATGTATAAATAAATTAAATTATATATGTATGTATGTACATATGTGTGCACACAAACAAATATACATACACATATTGACATACATACATACATATATACATATATTGTATGTGTGTACATAATTTGTAGTTAAATATTTTGCAGCAGCTTTTTTTTTTTTGTTTTTGCTGTAAATTTGTTTGGGTGAAAGTTGCGCAGTTTGAAATCAAATGAGGGGAAGCAAATATAATGAAATGGAATACATATTAACATACACAATTACATATGTGTGTGTGTGTTTGTGCAGCATACATACGAAACAAATTGGCAAGAAGTGCAGCACGAAATCAACTCATCCATAAAAAGCAGAAAGGAAAAAAATACAAAAATAATGCATAAAACAAGCAATTAGAGCGGGCGGTCGGTCGGTCGGTCGGTCGGTCGGTCGAGTGAGAGCGGGTGACAGTGACAGCAAGAGGCAGTGGCATAGGTAGAAGCAGAGGGAGAGGCAGAGGCAGAGAGCGAAGTTCAAAACTTGAATGCTGCGCGTTGGCGGCGTTGCCAGACGAGTGAAAATAATAACTAATTGCAATTTATTGCCCAGTGCAACAAAAATTTGAATAGACATTGGTAAAACTTACAGACAAGAGATATTTGGAGAGTGCTGGGCAAATATTGGGTCACATTGAATGTGATTTAAGAAAATTTTTTGAAAATATGTATGTTTATTTTGTATTATTATAACTATACATATATAAATAAGTAAATTAGTAAACTAAAACAGATTAATATTATTTTCATGCTAGTAATCGATTATAGTCAATAAACATTGTACTTAATGGTATCCAGGATATCACATATCACATACATACATATGTACATACATCATTTGGCTTAAGCTTTTTTCTGGTATTGCAGCACTACTACTTTCATGAACAGATATTAATATGTATGTTTTTTTTTTTTTTTAAATACATATTAATATACATACTTATTTATATTTACGACACAAACACACATATTTTGAGATCGTAATCATAATTTCGGTCGTATTAAATGTTATTTAATTTTTAAAAATTGATTTGATTTATTTGCATATGTCGAATTAAGTTTATTTGAGATTTTGTTTTTGCTTTGTTTATGCACATGTAAACAGTCATTTATATACATACCTACACATATACATACATACATACATACACACATACACATGTATCGCTTTATATTTTTATGCCGTCAGTTTGAAATTTTTATGCATACTTGCGTTCTATTAATCAATGTGCCACACATGTGTGTGTCTATGTCTGTGTATGAGTGCGTGTGTCTGTGTAGTGTATTTAGCCGCACTAATCTAAAGAGAACGGCAACACAAATATAACGGAGCATTTATTACCCATTCCCTCTCCTTTGTCTTTCCTCCGTTTCGACAAACATATTTACATACATACATACATATATAGTATATATATGTATATGTACATAGATACAGACAAAGGCCAGGTGCGTCAGCACAGACACAACTACATCCTCGAACCATTATCGGATAATATTAATGGGCATTACGGGCACATACTATAACACACACGAACATACATACATTTGTATGTATGTATGTACATTCGTATACATAGTTATGTGTACGCGTGTGTGTAAGCAGCCACACGAAATTGAATACAAAGTCGCTAGGAGACCAAACCCAAACGCCATTTAATAGCTCAACATCGCTCTCTCAGCTACTGTTAACGGCAATGTTCTATAAAATGCTTTCACCAACAACAACAATAACCTAACTATGTATGTATGCACATTATGGTCGCCGCTGTTATTGCGCTGCGCTATGTTGCACTGTGCGCCTGCTAACAGTGAAAATTAAAATCGCCTTTGGTTCATGGTTGCGCTGCAGTTCGCTGCTAACGGCAAATCGAAAAACTCGCCGCAGCATTCTAGCATCAGCGTTAGTTACTGCAGCGGCGAAGAGCTTTCTAATGCACACGCAACGGCAACGGCAAAAGCAACGGTTAGCGGCCTTGCGATTCACACTATACAAGAACAAACGAGAAATGCTGAGAAACTGCGGCAGCGCCAGCAGCAGCGGCAGCGTCAACAGCAGCAACAGCAGCAACAGCAGCAGCATACAGAATGAACTAAACAATTTAAGTTCACTCGGTTAACAGACAGACAGACATACAAATGCTCAGTCAGCGTCGCAGCCGCTGCTGCCAGCCAGCCAGTCAGCTCGTTTTCGTTTTTGTTGTAGACTTGCCAATTTTACCTTGCTGCTTCTCTCTAGCGAAACAGTGTCGAACTTAAAGAGCGACTAACGTGACGTGTCGTTGTCAGCGACGAGCGCGCCTGAATTTTTTTTATTATTTTTGCCAACTTCCTACTATATACAAACACAGCAGGCAAAACCAACAACAACGAGAAATAAAACAAGCAAAAGGCAAACCAAACGATACGAATGCCGAAGCAAAGCGTGTGTGTAACATAAATGCAAAACGTGCAAATCAAGCAAAGTGTGCAAAATAAGCAAGCAAAAAAAAAAAAAAAGAGAGAGGAGGGAAAACATAAATACAAAACACAAAACAGTCGTGTCGGCAAACAACGAGAAAATACGGCAGAGAGAGAGAGAGTGCAAATAAATCGAGAGAACGCCGGTCGAGCACTCACACTTGTACATTTACACTCTCATAGCGAGAGAGCGCGAGAGAGTTCTAGCAATAACGCTGCTGCTATGGCAGCTGATTTTTAAAATTTTGCCGGTAAGCGTGTCAGCTGTTTAACGACGGCGACTGCGACATCGACGTCAGCGTCAAAGTTAGCGGCAGCAGCAGCAGCAGCGACGTTTTCTCACTGTTACGTTGCCATGTTAGCCACGGCAGCAACAACGACAACAGCAGCAGCCTCTGCGAGTAACGCCGCACGCAAACGCAGCCGCAGCACCAGCAACAACAACAGCAGCAAGAGAAGCGCCGGCAGCGGCGCCGCTGGTCGCAAGCTAACCAAGAGCGTGAGTGTTGTTATTTTTTTTCTTTTCGTTTTGTGTGTGTGTTTCTCTTTGTTTACATTAGCGGCGCTTCGTGCACGTGCTGATGCTTTCTGCTGCTGTGCGCCCAGTATACATTTTCTTAACAGGGGTCTGTTAAACGATTGGGGACACAACCAATGTTAACCCATTGATTGCCCTGTAAGGAAATTAACAGAGAATTTACATCTTTTAAAGAGAAATTAACACACAAACAACTTTATTATTATTTCTACTTTACGTTTGTTTACAGCTTAAATATTTCTCTCTATGCCAAAGTGTAAATAGAAATAATGAAGTACACAAACCAATCTAATTGGGTTAATGACGCGAATAAGTAAATAATAAAAATTATAGAATGTTTACAAATAATTTATGTAGGTCTTCAATATCATAATACTGCTGATTGTTGGGCTATAATGTTTCCATCATAAATTTTTCAAAGCGCGTAGCGTATTAAATCAATGACAATGACAACGACAAAAATGCCAACTAAATAAAAATGCGAAATAAAAAAATACATAAATTAATTATTCGATGGTGGCTCTGCTCTGCCTCTGCCATGCGTGTTTTCAAACGTTCGTTGCCGCTTCCCATTCATTCGTCGCAACGACTCGTGTCTGTTCGGCTCGCTGTCGTTCAACACGACGTCGGAATCGCACGCTAAAAATAAACGGACATAGTTTTTTTCTTTCTGTGTTGTGGGTAAGCAATGAAAACGAAAATTTGCGTGACGTCTCTCGACCTTGACTCATCGATGTGAACTGTTAAACTGTGGCTACGACGGCGACTGTTGTTGCCTGGTGTTGCGCGACGGCGTTGCCAGACGGCTGCGATTGTTATGGCTGTTGTGTGTTGGATGGCAGCCCTAATGTCAACGTCTTGCCGCGTCGATTGCGACAACCAGTTTTTAAAGACATACAAATGCACAGATGTATATATATACATATTATATGTTTGTATGCGTTTTGTATTTGCAATAAGCGTTATCACAACACGTTGCCAAAAGAAAAAAACTTGTTATTGCATGCTCCGAAGCTGGAGTTGTGCTGCGTTACTAGAGCTAACTTAGCAAAAAAAAAAAAAAAAAAAAAGCATTTGAAAAATCACCAAATATGCAACGGTTTTCGAGCTGCATTGGAATGCACTCGCAATCGTAATAGTACTCTCTCACTCGCTCGCACAAACGTACTTATGTATGTACATCTGTGCAGTCGCAGTCGCAGCTGCAGCTGCAGCAGCAGTTGCTGTCGTCACACACATACACACAAGTACCCACATGCACAGATGGTGCCAATAAGAAGTGCATACATACGTTATGCTTGTCACTGCCACACCCTCGCACACTGCCCCGTACCCTCATATAAACACACATACACACGCACACGTATTGAAGTATTTATTGTAGAGAGAGGGACGTTGCTCACGCTCGAATTTGGTTTTGTCTCGGCTCGTTCTCGCTACGTCTACATCTGCGACTCGCGGGCCTTTTCGCACGCTTTTGCTTTTGTAGCTCCCATCAACAACATCAACATCATCATAGATTTATCTCATTCGCGCGCACGTGAGTGGAGCAAGCCGAAAAATTAAGTCGTCTTCGTCGTCGTCGCCCATTTCGTTTGCATTGTGGGCTCAGCTCACAAAGTTTGTTATCATTTGTTGTCTTCCTAGCTCTTGGCCCGTTGTTAGTGTTGCCAATTTGGCCCGCTACAACTTTTGTGAGTGTATTTGCGTTTGCATTTGCTAATTTTTTCTTCGCGCTTCCATCTTCCGCTCTCACTCTCAACAAGGCAACGGGAAACGTGAAGCGGGCAGCAACGTCGCGACGTCCAGCGCCCAGCTGTTGTTATGTTCAGCAACCGCAAACAACGCTGCGACGCGTCGACACCATAAAGTTAGCTTCCTTCCTTTTTAACGCTATTTGGAGCTGAAAGTGACTGCGGCCCTAACAGAACTGTTGGCAGCACGAACAGGATTAAACTGTTATATGATGAAAAAAAAACTACTTAAATGTACTTAAACCGAATTACAAGAGCTCTATAGTATTCATGTTTGGATCTTTGTAGATAATAATACATTTTATTTGAATTTATTTATATTTTTTTAATTTAATTTAAATTGACATAAGTTTTGTAGCAATTTTTTATTTTTTGCATTATAATTTAAATTGCTCTTATATTCACAGTCACACAACACTATGTAAATGTACATGCATGTTATGTATATATATGTATATATGTGTGTGTATAAATACGAACATAATTTGGGCAATGGCGTCGTCAGCGTCGCTGCCAGCGTCGACGCGCTCATCGCGAAATAACAAAGACGCCGGTTGGGTCGCGCTGCTGCTGCTGCCGCTGATTGCTGGGCAATGTTGGAAGTGTAGAAGGAAGAAGAGCGCTCGCAGTCGCGCAGCAGCGTCGTCGCAGCAGAGCCGACGTCGCAGCAGCAAGAGCAGCAGCAACTACAAATAGTTGTTGTAGTTTAGTTTCGGTGTTGTTTTTGGATGGGCGCGCGCGGAAGTCGCAGAAATTTATCAAAAGCAACAGAAACCCAACAGGCCAACGAAGGCCGAGCGAGAGAACGACGAACGACAGACGACGACGACGCGAAGCGGTTGCTGCCTGTCAATCGGATTAATTTTTATTGTACATTTCTTTCCTCGTTTTTGCAAATATTTTGTAGTGCTGTGTAGTGTAGTCGTGCAGTTGTGTTGTGTTGTTTTCTCGACTCCGGCTCGGCTCGGCTCGTTGTACGCGCGCTCTTTCTCACTCTCTCGCTCTCTTTTGGTTTTGTGTGTTTCTTCACCCCTGCTCTCGCGCTCGTGCTCTCTGCAAATAGCAAAAGCGCCGAGTTTGAGACGTTCGTCGCTGTCGCTGCTGCTGTCGTCGTTGTCGCTGCCGTTGCCCGTTGTCTGTGTACGCGTTTTATTGCTCTTGTTCTTCTTTTTTCACCTTCTTTCTTGCTTGTTACGGGCCGCGCGCACCATTACAAATACGCGTATAACAATTTGCTGCCTGCCCCGAAAGAACTGAAAGAAAAATACAAAAACCAGCCATAAACTAAGTACGCGGCGTGCAAAATAGTCGATTATAATCGTTAAAGCGTAATGTAAAATTCGTCAAAGTGCATAGATATACACAACAACAATGAATGTGATAAATTATAATAGAATGTGAAAATTCATCCATACACATATACGCACACACACACACACGTCATACACACGCATACATACACACACAGAAGCAAAGCGTATGTGTGTGCAGAAAAATATGCGGCGCTTAAAAAAGGTGAACGGCATTTTGTCATAAATAAGACACACATACACACTCGCATACATACAAGTATATATAGTATAATATATATTTATATATACCTTTATTCAATACATATTCACACACAATATACGTTCACACTTACACAAACACGGTCATCCACAAAGCAACTACAAAAAAAAAGAAGAAAAATAAATAAAAAAAAAAAAAAAAAATAACGGAAAGAAAAATAATAATTAAATTGTGTTGTGTAGGGAAAGAAATAAAGAGTGCTGGCAAAAAGTAAATACATATGTAAATAACGAAAAAAATTTTGTGTGTAGACATAAAATTTGTATTTCGATTTTCAACTTTGTTCTTGTGTCGATTTTTTTCTCATTGTCTTTGCTTTTTGATAAAATATTTCACACATGCAGAAGCGCACACACAAATACATACAAACACTGCTGCTGCTGCATTGCGCTCACTCACACGCATGTCTTGCGGAGCGGCGCTCAGCAGAGTAGCACGCGCTTGCTATGACGTCTCACTCACTCACACACACACATACGTACTCGTCATTTTGTTGCCATGTATTTTGCACGTTTCTCTTTCGCTGTTTTCGCTATTCTGCCATTTTTTTTTTCTTTCAATTTGCGGCTCAGCCTCACCGTTGCCACTTAGTTGGGAGGCATATGTCTGGCAGCGCTGCGCTGCGCTGTCGCCGACGAACCAGCGAATCAAAACAAAAAGTGGTTCAGTGCTGCAAAAGTCACGGCATATCGATAAGCGAGCAATCGAATCGATCATTTGCTCAAGTTCATGTATAAATTAAAAAAGCATAAATCAATTGATATATAAATAATATAGAAATAAAAAAAGATGAACGCAACTAAGTAAATTAATATTTGTATTATATTTGCTTGTTTTGCTTTGCAGATGTCCGCCGGCGCTCAATTGCAGATGGCCCCACAGACCACATCGACCCTAAGTCATCATCATCCGAGCAGTCAAGCAGCACAGCAACAGCAACAACAACAGCAGCAACAGCAGCCGCAGCCACAGCAGCAACATTTTGCCAATCATCACAGTACGCAGGCGCAACAGCAACAGCAACTGTTGCCACAGCAGCTAACGCAGCAGCAGCACTTGCAGACGCACACGTTGCATCTGCAGCAGCTCACCACACAACAGCAGCAGCAGCAGCAGCAACAACAACAACAGCAGCAGCAGCAACAACAGCAGGCGGCGGCAGCAGCGGCAGCAGCAGCGGCGGCTTTAGCACAGCAGCAACAGCAACAACAGCAGCAGCAACAGTCGCTGCATCACAGTGCACTGCCGCCACAGCATCCACAGCAGCTGCAACATTTGCATCCACAGCATCCACACGCAGCGCTGCACCAGCAGCAGCAGCAGCAACAACAGCCGCACGGCGCTGCTGGCGGACACAGCAGCAATCCGGACTCGAATATGAGCACTGGTTCCTCGCACAGTGAAAAGGATGTCAACGATATGCTAGGACTCGGCAGCCTCCAGCAGCAGCAGCAGCAGCTGAATCCCGGATTGCACTCGAACAACGGCGCCTCCATGCTCGACATGCTCAATGTCCAGCAACAGCAGCAGCAGCAGCAACAACAGCAGCAGCAGCAACTGAATAGCACAGGGCCGGGCAGTGGACCCGGACCCGGACCTGGACCCGGCCCAGGACCAGGTCCCGCCACCAATGCCAGCGGGAAGCAGCCGCGCACGCCCGCGGAGCGCAAACGGAAACGCAAAATGCCCAACAATTCGGACGAGACGGGCAACGGAGGAGGAGGAGGCAGCAGCAGCAGCGGCATTGTCAGCGGGCTGAAGGTGGGCAAGTCGCTGGCATTCCGGGACAGCGCCATGTCGAAGGCGGGTGGCGGCAGCCTGCCGCTGACTCTGGGCGGCGATCGCTGCGCCCTGCCCAGTGGCGGTGGTGGCAGCGGCGGGGGATCGGGCAGTGTCAGTGGCTCCGGGGCGGGCGCTGGGGGCAAGAGCGCGCGCCTCCTGCTGCCGGGCGCTAGCGACAACAAGAAGATCAACGATTACTTCAACAAGCAGCAACAGCAGCAGTCCGGCGGCAACTCGAGTCTGCGGCCACACACGGGCAGCAAATCGCCCTCTTCGGCCACGCAGCAGCAGCAGCAGGTGCAGCAAGTGCAGCAAGTGCAGCAGGTGCAGCAGCAGCAGGTGAACAGCCAGGTGCAGACGTCGAGCGCGTACTCCATACACGGCTATCATTCAACTAGTCCACAGACGCAGTCCCAGCCCGGCCAGCAGCAGGTGCAGCAGGCGGGCGCCGACTTTCATTTCGTTAGCTCGGCGGCGGCGGCGGCAGCAGCGGCGGCGGCAGCGGCCAAACAGCAGCAGCAACAGCAGCAGCAGCAGCGCCAGCAGCAGCAGCAACAACAACAGACTTCCAATGCAATGGTTCCTCAGCAGACGCAAATGGGTGTGCCCATGTCGCATGTGGGCGTGGCGCACGGCGTACTCAATGCCGCCAGTTTGGGTCTGGGCGTGGGCTCACAGGCGGCGCAGCAGCAGCAGCAGCAACAGCAACAACAGCAGCAGCAGCAACAGTTGCCCGTGACCACATCGGCGGCCAGTGTGGCCGTGGTGCCCACGCATCAGCAGCTGAGCACGCTCAGCACTCTGGGCACGCTCAATGTGGGCGTGGGCGTCAATGTGGGTGTGGTCGGCGGACTACCACCGCCGCCGCCGCCGATGCCGCTGTCAATGCCAGCGGCCATCATGACGTACACGAAGAGCACCCAGACGGAGGTGTCGCAGCTGGAGCTGCAGGAGCGGGAGGCGGAGCACGAGTCGGGCAAGGTGAAGCTGGACGAGATGACGCGGCTGTCGGACGAACAGAAGTGCCAGATCATGAGCCACCAGAAGTCGATCGAGCAGCACAAGTCGCACATCGCCAAGTGCATCGATGTGGTGAAGAAGCTGCTCAAGGAGAAGAGCAGCATCGAGAAGAAGGAGGCGCGCCAGAAGTGCATGCAGAATCGCCTACGATTGGGTCAGTTTGTGACGCAGCGCGTCGGCGCCACATTCCAGGAGAACTGGACGGACGGCTATGCGTTCCAGGAGCTCAGCCGGCGGCAGGAGGAGATAACGGCCGAGCGCGAGGAGATCGATCGCCAGAAGAAGCAGCTGATGAAGAAGCGTCCGGCCGAGTCTGGGCGAAAGCGCAACAACAACAGCAACCAGCAGAACAACCAGCATCAGCACCAGCACCAACACCAGCACCAGCAGCAACAGCAACAGAACTCCAACTCCAATGACTCCTCCCAGCTGACGGATCGGCTGGGCGGCAACGCCGGCGCCGGCAGCCTGGACAGCGGCATCGCTGTCGGCAACGCCGCCGTCAATACGACTGGCGCCGGCGGCGTTGGCGTTGGCGCTGGCAGCGGCGCCGTTGTGGTCGTCTCCTGCGGCCGTGGTCTCTCCCGCTCCAATTCGACGCAGGCGCAGCAGGCGCAACTGCTCCACAATGGAGGCGGCGGCGCTGGCGGTGGCGTTGGCGGAGCTGGCGGTGCAGGAGGATCCGGCGGCAATGTCGGTAGCGCTGGTGGCGGCGGCGGCGGCGTCAGCGATCGGTTATCGGATCGCGGCGGCGGCGGTGCCGGCGGCGCTGGCAGCGGAACTGGCGCAGGCGGCGGCGGCGGCGGTGGCGGCATCGGCGGCAACGACAGCGGCAGCTGCTCCGACTCGGGCACGTTCCTCAAGCCGGATCCGGTGTCGGGCGCGTACACGGCGCAGGAGTATTACGAATACGACGAGATACTCAAGCTGCGACAGAACGCACTCAAGAAGGAGGACGCCGATCTGCAGCTGGAGATGGAGAAGCTTGAGCGCGAACGCAATCTCCACATACGCGAGCTCAAGCGCATACTCAACGAAGATCAGGTAGGCTATGTGGCTATATCCATACAGACATATATATTGATATCTCTCAATGGTGTCATGTATTAATCCAACTTATTCGCTCCGTCTTGCAGTCCCGCTTTAACAATCATCCCGTGCTGAACGATCGCTATCTGCTGCTGATGCTGTTGGGCAAGGGCGGCTTCTCCGAGGTGCACAAGGCCTTTGACCTCAAGGAGCAACGCTATGTCGCATGTAAGGTGCACCAATTAAACAAGGATTGGAAGGAGGATAAGAAAGCTAATTATATCAAGTGAGTAGAGCAGCAGCAGCAGCGACGGAATTATAGGACGCCATTATTATAGGGCATTATAGCATCGTGATGAGGTTGAGGTCTCTTCAATTAACCATCTATCCATACGAGTATATCTCTCTTTCGATTAACACTTTAGTGTTAGCTCTAATGCAAGCGCATAGGCTGTCGAATCTCTCTCTCTCTCTCTCTCTGTTTCGTAATCCCTGATCTCTCCAAGAGAGATGAGATCTGCGGATGCTTTCAAGTGGGGCAAGTTGCATAGTTGACTTAGACACTGAAACGATCTCTTCTGGTCTTCTAGTTCTCGTAGGCAATTAGTACGCTTTTGCTAGTAGAAGAGGGCCAAGAACCAAGAGCCAAGAAGTGAAGAGCATGGGATTCGGAGCATATGTTGATCAGACATTATAAATATATATATATTCGTATTCCCATTTCCATTCCCCCAAATCCCATCTAGACACGCATTGCGGGAGTACAACATACACAAGGCGCTGGATCATCCGCGCGTGGTGAAGCTCTATGATGTCTTTGAGATCGATGCGAATTCGTTTTGCACCGTGCTGGAGTATTGTGATGGACACGATCTCGACTTTTATCTGAAGCAGCATAAGACTATACCCGAGCGTGAGGCGCGCTCGATCATAATGCAGGTGAGTGTGGGGGAAAATCGTAATGACAACACATATATGGAATACTATTCAATGATAATGATAATAATAATGATGCCTATTCAGGTTGTATCTGCACTCAAGTATCTAAATGAGATTAAACCGCCTGTCATCCATTACGATCTGAAGCCGGGCAACATCCTGTTGACCGAGGGCAATGTCTGTGGCGAGATCAAAATCACCGATTTCGGTCTGTCCAAGGTGATGGACGACGAGAACTATAATCCGGATCATGGCATGGATCTGACATCGCAGGGCGCGGGAACCTATTGGTAAATGAGCGAGAATCCATATGAAATATATTACTATATCATCGATATCATCTGTTCCATCTATAACTAACAACGATCCGTATCTTAATCTGTCAGGTATCTGCCGCCGGAATGCTTTGTGGTTGGCAAGAATCCACCGAAAATCTCATCGAAAGTGGACGTTTGGAGTGTGGGCGTGATATTCTATCAGTGTTTATATGGAAAGAAGCCGTTCGGCCACAATCAATCGCAGGCCACAATTCTCGAGGAGAATACCATACTGAAGGCCACCGAAGTGCAGTTCTCCAACAAGCCAACTGTGTCCAACGAGGCAAAGGTTAGCAGATAGCTGCCCTCCACATATACAACTATATATATTTTCTATATGCAACTTTTCTCGAATATTGATTTATGGCTTTCGCTTCTGTTCGCAGAGTTTCATTCGCGGCTGTTTGGCCTACCGCAAGGAGGATCGCATGGATGTGTTTGCACTGGCCAGGCACGAGTATATACAGCCGCCCATACCGAAACACGGTCGGGGCTCGCTGAATCAGCAGCAGGCGCAACAGCAGCAGCAACAACAGCAGCAGCAACAGCAACAACAGTCGTCTACGTCGCAGGCCAATTCGGCGGGGCAAACCTCGTTCTCAGCCCACATGTTTGGCAATATGAATCAGTCCAGCTCGTCCTAGCTGCCAACTAAACGCAATTCCAATTCATAATTCGCCGCCGCAGCAGCAGCTGCTAGCCACCAGCAACAGCAACAGCAGCAGCAACAACAACAGCAACAACAACAGCAACAACAACAGCAACAGCAGCAGCAACATCAACAGCAACCGCAACAGCAGCGCATCAACAACAACTACAGCAACAATAGCAGCAGCAGCAACAACATCATGAACAACCCCTATTGCAATCGGCGGCTGCACACCAGCAGCTACTATGCCACCACATTACTGGATGCGGCCGCCTATTGCTATGAGACTGTGATGGATGCCACACACTACAAACTGCAATCTGTGGCAGCAGCAGCGGCAGCAGCTTCATCATCGACAACAACAACAATAACTGGAACAACATTGCACTCGCATCAACTGCAGCTGCCCGGATTAGCCATGCCCACGTTGGTGACCGGTGTTGGAGCAGCTGGAGCAATACCTGGAGCTGGAGCAACAACCATCGGCAGCAACAGCACTACCAGCACCAGCACCAGTACCAGTACCAGCACAAGCACCAGCACCAGCACCAGCACCACAACAACAACAACGACACGCACCTACCTGGGCATGTACAAGCGCTGGCAGCAGCAGCAGCTGCAACAGCAGGCGCAACTGCAGCAGCAACAGCAATTGTTGCTGCTGCAACAGGAATTGCTGTAGATTGTGCCCAAGGACGTTAAGCGCAACACTGCCAACAGTTAACGAGCTCACTTGCTGCATCTGTTGTTGCACTTGGAGAGGAAGAGCAAGAGCGACAGAAAGAGAGAGAGAGAGACAACAACAATAACCAGCAAGAACAACCCGAAGAATTTCCACTGACGCCTCTGAAGCAAAGCGCGCCGCAAATGCATAAAAAATTAAAACAAAAAAAAAAAAAAAAAAAAAAAAAAAAACAATACTAAATTAAATACAACTATATATGCATATATAAATATAAATATGTACATGCATACATATATATTAAATGTGATAAACAAGCGTAAAGCAAAAAAAAAAAAAAAAAAAAAAAAAACAACAACAAGAATAGCAGAAAGAACGCAAAACAAAGCAAAGCCAGCGAGAATTGGTTCGAAGCTAAGGACGAATTGCTGAATTGCTAAACCAAGAACAGAAGTAGAAAGAGAGGTAGAAGCAGAAGGAGATAAGAGATAAGCATAGAAGAGATGTGGAGAAGTGGTGGACATGAGGAGAGATGAAGAGCTACATAGTTGTTTAAAAAGGCTGCTAATAACGTGTATTTTTTTTTTTTTTTTTTTTTGTTAACTATATTAAACACAACGTAAAGAAGCAGCAGAAAGTTAATAATAATAATAATTATAATATAATAATTTAAAAAGCTAAAGCAAAAACAAAAACAAAAACAAAATGGTAAATGTAAATTAGCAACTAGTTAACCACAAAAAGAACGCGCCGACAATGGCGTCTGATATCCACAAAAGAAAATCGTTTTTCTTTGTATTACAAAAACAAAAATATGATAAAAAAAACAAAAAAAACTAATACTTAATAGTTACAGGCAACAACAACAGAGCAAAAAAAAAAAAAAAAAAAAAAAGAAATTATAGCAAAAATTAGCGTAGATGAGAAAGTGAGAAAAATGCAAGAGATAACATAAAACAGATAACAGTAAATAGCAGAACAGTTGTTACATTAACAGCAGTAAGAGCAACAGTAACATGAACTTAACATACACACACACACATACTGACACTGAATGGGTTTAGTTGTAATGTTGTTCGCACACTCTCTCACACACACACACACACACACACACACGTATATGTTTAGAGCTATGAATTCTTTTATTTTGTTTACTCGAGTTTGCCTTAATACATAACTCACACATATTATAGAAATAATACATTTATACATACATTATACAATTATATATACATTATATATAAATACATTACATTACATACATATAACGATAATTATGCGAATAATTTGTATACTCTGATTTGTTATATCCAAAAACCAATTCGTATTCCTCTACAACTCCCACACATGGCCCGCCTTTCAAAATTGTAAATTTGTTATTTTTAACACCATTTTTAAATGAAATTCGAACTCGAATTCGTTTTTGCATTTAAATATTATAACATTTATTTTGTATCAAAATCCTGTTACCTCCCAACATGCTAATCGATTATACATATATTTCTTTCACACACACACACACACACAAACACCCTGAACAACAACAACAAAACCCAAGTAATGTGCAAAAAGAAAAAAAAGCTAGCAAAGATAAAAAAAAATGGTTTATACAGAGCAAGTGAGACAAGGAGTACACAAAATGAAGCAGAAATAGTTGAAATATTTATAAATAATACAAATCTGAAAAAGATCATTTTTATATATGCCACGCAACAACAACAACAACATAAAGGAAACCGCTAAATTTTCAACAAGTTGTACCAACTCTTAAAAGTATATATAAAGAAATCACATCTGAAAGAAAAAGAAAGAAAATTACTTCTTATTAATATAATAACTAATGTAATAGTTTTTATTATGTATATATATATATATATATATATATATATATATATATGTATATATATGTATATATATATATGTATATATACATTTATATATATATATATTATATAAAATTTTTTTTTTTAATTTTAAAACATAATTATAATGAACTATTGCGTAACAATGTATTAAATATTAATATCAAAGGCATATTAATAGAAATATATATATATATAAATACATATATATATATATATATATATATAAAACATTTAAAAATATGAGAAAAAAAAAAAACAAACTACCACGCTAAATGTTTCAATAATATATATATAGAGATATATATGTATGTAAAGCCCATATACATAAAGCTTTGCTCGAAAGCAAAGTAATCGAAACTAAAATGTTGAGATATGGAAAGATAGAGATAGAGCGCGCAAGAGAAAGGGAGAGATAGATAGAGATGCCAGATAAAGTTGATATATGTAGGTTCTGGGGCGGGTTGGGGACTCTTCGTCGGGCACTTTCAATGGCACCCAAATTCCACAGCTTTTTTACGCCGAAGTCAAAAAAAAAAAAAAAAAAAATTAAAAAGAAAATTAAAATAAAATTAAAGGCAAAGAAGTTAGGTAGCAAGAGACAGAGACAGAGCTGTAAAGAAAGTGCAGGAGAGAGCATAAGAAAAAATAAAGTAAAAACAAAAATAAAACATTTTTTTCTTTAGTCAATACAAAACAAAAAAAAAGTAAATATTAAAATGAAATGAAAATTAGGTTTTAGTGCGCTAAAAAAGTAAATATGAAATATTGCAAAGCGAAACTGAATGAGACAGAGACAGAGACATAGGGCAGACAGAGACAGAGATAGGCACACATGAAACAGAAAGCCGAAGCCAAGAGTAGAGTACAGTGAACAGAGAGTAACAGCAACAGCAACAGCTGAAGAACAAGCAAGAACATAAACAAAAACAAAAAGGAAAACAAAAACAAAAACAAAAAAAAAAAAAAAAGCAAAAACGTAGCAAAGAAACTGTAAATATTAAATATACATATATATAATTGTAATAATACAAATAATAAGAATAATTAATTTATGCCTAATTACAATTTAATAAATTCGATGAAAGAGCCACAAAAAGCAAAGCAAAAAATACAGCAAAAAGCGTAAAGCGAAAATCGAGAACCATTTCAAGAGATGCGTACTAATTATATAAATTATATTATACATACATACATATGTACATGTACGTGAGCGTACTTTCCTTTAATTTTAGCCAACAGTCTTAAGTGTGAACTTTTTTTTTCTTATACATATATACACACACACACACAGGCACATATATAATATATATGTATATTTATATATGTGTATATATTTTTTAATTATTGTCACGTAAATAAATCATGTAATTTAAATCTATGTTTAATACAACTATAATTATTAATTTTATTATTATTATTATACATATAATTATATATTATTATTATTATTATGGAATGATTTTTTTTCTTTTTTTTTTTTAACGATCGGAGTGCGTGTGGGCGTTGATTTGATTATGATTTGACATAAGCGAGCACAGCGAGAGCGAATCTATTTGTAAAATGCACATTAAAAAAAAAATACCACATACATATATGCATATGTATATATGTATATGCATATATTCGAAAAGAAACAAAAACTATTATTTTTATTATTATATATTTTTTTTAATAGTTTCGGTTCGCGAACTGAACACAGAAAAAAAAAAAAAAAAAAAAAAAAACAAACAAACAACAAAATAAACAACAACAAAATGTTTTGAAAAAAGAAACAAGTTTTTTATGATTTATTTTAATTATTAGTTTTTTTTTCCCCAATTTCTTTTGCATTAAATTTGAAGAGAACAAGAAAAATAAGAAGAAATAAAATTTTGACAAGGCATAAAATAAAGCATAATAACTATTAAGTGTTTAAATAGTACTAACTAAATAAACAGAAAGAAATCAAAATATACATACTTAGAGCCCAACAATAGCATGGAATACAACAAACAAACAAACAAACAACAACAACAAAGCTGGTGTCTCATTTGCTGCGAAAGTCGCAAGAAAAGCCCAAATTAAATTATTTGTTGAGTATTTTATTAATAATTATAAAATTTAAATTGACAAAATAAAAAAAAAAAAAACTGATTATACATATATATATTTATATATGAATATATATAAATAATTATTTGATAGTTATGCTAAAAAATTATTTCAAGCAAAGTGGGAAACAAAGAGCATGCGGCTTGCAAAAAGGGCTTAGACTGGGACCCAAAAGCCAATTTAAAAAAAAAAACCAACAAAAGAGAAAAAAAAAAATAAAACATGATAAACACTTCCCACTGGGTTCTAGGCCACGTTTCTACGGGCGAACAGCATCTATGATAACAAGATAACGAAAACAAAAACAAATACTTGAATTATATATATAAATGGAAATCGCATGATCATGATGATGATGATGATGATGTGTGCAAAATGTGCGAGGGGCCCTCCCCCTCGAAGTGGGCAGAGGGCGGGGCAAGCGGTTGAGCAGATGCTGAAGATGATATGAGAAAAATGAAACCC